GCGAAGCGCCTAGCAATCTGGGACGGTTTTGGTGAGTAGTGGTTGGATAGCGTTTCCACCAACTCTGCCCATGGGACATTCCTGATTTCTCGTGGGGCCAGGAGTGCTGTGGCGGTGTCGTAGACTACAGCCCCACAGTAGCTGAGGAAGTAGGATTTCTTCCTCTGCTCCGTAGCATCAGCCAGTCCAATGGCATCGATAAAGTGGTTGAAGCGATTCTTATACGAATCCCACTTTTCCTCATCAGGTTTGAATGGGGGGAATACTGAGTTGACATTCATTTTGGACCCCTCAGTCTCTTGGTAGACTGGTCTGCCTCACTTGGTGCTCGTGGTCTTGGTTTGATGCTGACTGTGAGCATTGGCGGCTGTGGCTACAGCGCCCTAGACTCGCTCAGTGACTTCGGCTTTCCTGAGGCGCTTGTATTTTCGCGCTCTTTTGCGAGCGTTTGGCGGCTGTGGCTGCAGTGCTGTACTGACAGCGATTCAAATTTCGTGCCTTTTGTGGTCGTGGCGGCTGAGACGCTCGCAATTTCGCTTGGTAGCTTCAGTTAGTGACAGCAACTGGAATTCGCGCCCTTTTTGTGATCGAGGCGGCTGAGGCTCTCAGCGCCGTAGCTTGCTCTAGTGGCTGCAGCTCAGTGACAGCCGTTAGAATTTTCGCGCCCTTTTTCTGCGCGCGCGGGCGGCTTTGGCTTCAGCGCCCGACTTTCACTAGCCGTGGTGCTCTAACCTTCGCGACTCTCACTGACAGCACCCGGCCTTCGCTAACCGTGGCGGATCTAACCTGAGCGGCTCTAGCACTTTCACTTCCCGATGACAGGATTCTGAGTCGGAGGCTCGGTAAGCAAAACGGCTGCGGCTTCTGTTCCTTGAGTAAAATGCTCCTGACTAGCCTTCCAATCCCACCTTCGTCGCCAGTGTTGTAGTTTGAAGGAAAGGAGAGGCTTAGACCAGGGCATGCAGTTAACAAGGTTTATTTAAGGAACGGTGGTTGTCGCGTCTGCCAGCCAACAGGCAGACTAGCGTGCGAACAACGGCTGGCTTGGCTTGACAGCCGGCCTTATATAGCCGGCTGTCAAACGGTGCCAGCCAATAGGAGCGGTCGGTGCTCCTGCTTAAAGAGCGGACCCGGTTGGAACCCCAACCGGTTCCCAAGACATAACACTCACCTCTTTGATCACCCAGTGAAAATAAGTCAGCACCCACATATGCATGCACAGGTATGTATGTATACACCCACAGAGTGGGAGCAGGAAGATGTATGAAAGAAGAACAGGAAACTTGTTTGCTTAGCCAAAAAAGAACGTTATCATTCTAGAAGCATTCAGTCAATTATGAGAGTATAATGCAGGTTGGACTGTTTTGGGGAAAGTCTATGGGATGTGTACCACATCAGGCTCCTAGAGAAAAACTTGGATATAAATAATACAATTGTATTTTATTGAGTCTGTACAAAGTATAATTAAATCTCAAATCAATCCTACTTTCAGATTTCCTATTAACATTGTCAACTTACTTGAATCTTTTCTTTCTCCCTTACTTCTTTCAATTTTTCCCCCTCAGTAATGTTCTTGGCTATTTCTGAAAGATAACTTTAACTAATGTAAATCCTGAGCTCTTCATTCCCCCAAAATTTCACAACAGAAATTTTTGTTGTCTTTTAAAAAAATCACTGTATTGCTCTTTGTTGTTTTTAGCCAAAGCCTATAAAACTTTACAGTGAAGGCATCATTAGGGATATTATGCACAAATTTTAAATGCATCCCATTGTATAATACGTTACTTTAACAACTACTGAGAAAAATGTAAGTAATTGACAGCAAGGACTGCATGAACCTGGTATCTTCAATATTTTTGCTTTTCCAAATAATCATTCTTTCTTCAGCTGAATGTATTATTCACATACCCTCCCCCCAACACACAAACACATAATTCATATACTGTATACAGACACAGATACACTGATTTACCTGTATCAATATTGTAATTTTCCTTCTAGATGAACTTCAAAGAGAAATTGAATAAAAGTGCAGCTGGTCTATTAGAGAAAGATCTTATGTATAAAAAAATGACAATAATGATATTCAATTCTTCTCATTCTTCCTTTAAACAATGTCTGATGTACTAGAAGTTGGTTAAAAGAAAAAAGAAACAACTTTGTGGAAAGTTGTTGAAAAAGAGGCAAAGGGTACCAACAGCCATGACATGTTGCATATACCTGCTGGTTGAGGTGTATGCAATGTGTCATGTCATGGCTGCTGGTGAACTTGTTTTTTTGACCCATCTTTTTCCTCTTTATTTCTCTCTGAGTTCTCTTCTCATTAAATATCTTTTTCTAGCCTCCTAATCGAGCCAGTTTCATACAACTCATACTTTTTTCTGGTTGAAAAAATGGATGAGATTAAAATTATCATATCAGAGCTACCAACATCTGGATGACTAGAAGAAGAGAGGAAAGAGTTAAAAGTTTCAGTTATCTCTTTGTTTGATCATCTGGATTTCTACAGCCCACATTTGATAGACCTAGACAAGCAGAGTTATTGGAAATGTTTGTTTCATGAAATTTCAGGCCAAAAATTTCTTTTAAGAAGAACCCTTGAAGGCATGTACCTAGAGCTGGCAAGATCCAGAAAAGCCATTTTATTTCTCTTTCAGAGAAAGTAGAAAGAACACTTATCTAATTTGATAGATGCTAAATCTCTTAAGATGCCATGGCATGGACCCCAAGACTCAACGACAGACAAAAAAAATCACTCCTATTACTGACATCAGACCAATTATGCACATCTGTTTGATGGAATTGCCAATGGGCTCTTTGAAGCTAAGCAGCAGATAGCTATATAGTAGGTGACAAGGTTTGCAGAATGAAGATGGAGATGGGAGAGCTAATATAATTGCTAAATACTTGGTCTGTTATAACTAGCATAAAGGATAACAGGTTCCCTTAAATGATCATTTGGCAAACACATATTTGTCTTTGTATTTTCAGAATTTTACCTACACTTGTGAATCATATGAGCAGCTGCTACTACATGTCTTTTTTGATATATTAAACAACACATTCAATTATATCATACTTGAACGTGGTTTCAACTCTTCCATGATGTGACTAATAGCAGGGAGGTTAGCTTTTACTAAAACCAGAACAATTGGCTCTTCCTCAAAAATGGAAAGTTTGTTGTCCTGAAAGCTCATTACTTCTTTCCATAACTGGCTGATGCTCGGGCATTTGAGATATGTCAACACACACTTTACCGTATTGTCAAGATTTGAAAGAAAAAAGATTGTGTATATGGGCTCTTGCAATGGAAGCTAGTATATCTACACAATGTATTTTTTCCCACATAGAGAGCCTTATGAAACAATTTTATATCCCCTTTAGAAATGGTTGAAGTACATGTTAATCAGTCAAAGGAGTCATTGGGAGATTTTTATTATTCCACTTTTCAATATCTTCTTGCTTCATTTTTTTCCATTTTTTTCATATTCTGTTTCAATGTAGCATAAGAAGCTAACACCTGGAACAATGAAAATGCCTAGTGATTATCTTCAATAGGTAAGTGGGGGACTCAGTATTGTCTCCCAAGAATTTGGATGCCACGTCTGATAGCATCAGGAAGATCATCTATTCTTTTCTCTCTTTCAGTACCTATGCTGATGATACACAGGCCATTATGGAAATAAATATTATGCCAGCCTATTCCCAAATCAACCCTCTTGTAAATTTTGTGAAAATTACTGCAGCTATCACCTTGAACAGGCTGAGGTGAAGTCCACTTCCACTTTTTGGCTTTCCAGGTGGGTGTTAAAACCTGGCTCTGCCACTTAGCTTAGAGTGTTGAAGGTGGCAGGTGAATTCACTGAAAAGATGCTACCACTGTACCATCTTACCATTTTTGCTTCTTGTTTTTGTATTTAATGCTTTTTAATATATATTTTAATTTTAGGCTGTCCAGAGTTCCTTTTCAGAGTGAGATGGGTGGCATATCAATTTAATAAATAAACCAATAAAATCATAGGACAGTTCCATCAGGGTTTATTTATATTTTACTAATCAAATTTATATGGCTGTCAATCTCATAGAAAATGTCTCTACTTCAGTAGTTCTACTGCTTTGAAAACTGCTTTACCATAGGATTACTCACTGAGTAATTGACACGGGAGAGAAGATTGGAGAAAAGTCACATATTACGACTTGTCCCCATAGTGACATATATTATTTGTGTGTAAATGATTGCCAGTAAGGAAAGCAGAGGAAATAGGGTCAGTTGATGGACCTTCCATGAATTGGTGTTGCACAGCACTCAGATCAACCAGTAAAAGAAATGCACACTCTTCGTAGATCCCCTCTAAAAGTTGTTACTGGACTATAAAAGAAAAGAGACATTTGATGCACACTAATATGAATATAATTATATTTAAATTTAGTTTGATTTCCCCCCAACCTCATTCATTTTTGGAAGGCAAACCTTCTACTACTACTTCTTGAAGGCCCAAAATGGATCTTGGTCTGAAAAAAAAGTTGCATACATCTAATTTAGATGAGTGATTCTTAAATTAGTACTCAGGCTAATTTATTCTTACGTTGTTGTATAACGTCCAAAACCGTAGCTAGTTTCCTTGATCATGAATGAGAGTTGCAGCACAGTTACTTCATTTACTTTACTAGTGAGTACTTTAAAGAAGAATTATATAATTTAGTATAGACTTGATTTTAAACTTGTCACTATATTATATCATAGAAAAGTTTGCCTTATTCTCTTTTTTAATAGCAGGGTTTATTTTTTCTTTGATCAAAGGCAAGAGTATTTAAAATTATTTCAACATTCAATTCTACAGAAGCAATTGCTTCTTAAGTAGGATATCAGCACAGCGCTGCAATAACTTTAGGGGGGGGGAAACTCTCTTTGTTACTTCCTGGAAACTGAAGAAAGAAGAAAAAGTGGTTTTAGAGAAGTGAGCAGAACTGACATCACTTTACTGTAGAGTGTGACTGCCTGTAGTTAAAATTTTGCTTGACAGAGGAAGCTGCTTCTTGGATTATAAGGACGTGTTTCAATGTATGCATACACCCTGTTCTACATTTGATGCTGGGGACTTTGCATGACTCATAGAGAGCAATAACTTTTATTTTACTTTCCAGAGACAGACATCCACATGCTGTTTTGTAAGGATACACATAACCACTGGATATAACCATGTTTTTGTGGCTAGAACTCTTGGTGTTTGGCTTGGCTCTTGTGGACATGGAAGTTTTCATAAATGGTAGGTGCCTTCATTTGTTTTGATACCACAGGTTCTCTTGGTAATTGTAGCAACAGCAGCAATTGTTGCCTCAGTTGGATCAAATAATTAGCTCTAAAATTGAAAGTCAGTCTCCCAAGCTTAGGGTTTTTTTTGTTATTTGTTTTAAGAAAAGGTTGGGGTTGACCACAACCTTAAAAAGTCTTAGGTCTCTTTTTGAGTTCCACGATTCTATGATCATCAAGGATCTCAAACTAAACAACACCATTTGGCTGAGTAAAATTCAGGTACAATCTTGAGTTAGATAAACAAGCAGCATGCAGAAATGAGGCTCTAAACACTCCTGCAACATTCAAGGAAGCAGAGGTGTCCACATGGAAGTAGTTTCCTTCTCATAGGGAACTTTTTTAAAAAAATCCCAGATAACTTCATCATTTGGGATCTGAACCATGTGGTTTGGCTTTTGTTTTTTTCACACTGCATCTGATGCTGTCCACTAGGGGTTAAGATCTTCCTTCATTGCCTATATGTGGTCTTTGGGCTGTGCAAACTATGAAAGTGCTCACGCCACTGTGAAGGTGAAGCGACTTTTCCTAGATCTCTTTTGGAACAGATTTTGAAAAAAATGTTTTCTTTTTCAGTGCTTAAAATTTGGGCTTTTTTGTGAAGAACATTTAAGATTGCAGTCCTAGTACTGTTATTCCTTAGTATGATATATAACTCAATAGATTCACATTTGGATTTTATACAAGTACAGAGTTTTTTTTCCACGTGTTTGTTTAAGCAATAATGTTGCAGTGAATTTCCCCTGCTTTAAGATGGACTTCTGCATTGCATTTTGAGCCACTCCCTAATCTCAGATCCTGTATTTAGTTCCTCAGATTTCAAGCTCCACTGCATCACATATTTTTGTTCTTCTTTAATTAAAATCATCAGATAATAAATGATGCCAATATGTTGCATATATACTCCATACAAGTATTCATAATGGATGACACATCTGTATCTTTCATTTTATGCTGTCATGACTAACCATTGTTTTTAATGATGTCCCAGATTAGAAATCTTATTTTATACATGTTCTTCCACTGATTGGGTTATGTGGCTGAGGTGGTTAACAAATCATCATGTACTGCACTGCCATTTTATTTCAACTGCACTTAATCAGGCTTGTGAACCATTTTGAGTCTCTGGAAACCTGGGCTTATTGTACATTATAACTCTCATTTCCTTGGGAACCCCCAAAACGACCATTTTGAATTCAGGCAAATACATAATAAGCCAAAAAGCTTATCATTAAAAGGAAGAAAACTGATTCATTTGATAAAAGTCTTTGTGCATCTTTTATGTCTAGATGGTGACAGGATGCTCATGGCTTGATTTAAAGTGATAAAAAACCTGACCACAGGAAGGGTTGAACCTTTATCTATATCCTCTTCGAAAGGATATTTCTGCATGTTTTTGCAGCCTAGAACTAGCAGCCAGTTTCTAAATCTGTTTGCTGTTGAATATACAGTTTAGTAACAGTATAAACACTGTATTATATAACACTGGCCCTCCATCTTTTAAGAATTCTCATTCCCATTGGTTAATTTCAGCAGTTCCTCAAGTGGTTAGAAAATATTGAGGTCCCACAGTTTACATCGTCTATGGGGTTTTTTGTTCGTTTGTTTTGCTTTTCTTTCCACTGATGATGTCGAGCCTGATCACAAAAGTGCACTGTCCATTTAAGAAACAAGGCAATGGGACACTTGCCTTGTTTGTATGTAAAGCGTTAGCTAATAACATTTACAGCTTCTCATAAAATACAGACTTACAAACAGTTCGTTTAATGACTGTTCAAAGTCACAACGGCACTGGAAAAAGTGACTTATGACCGTTTCCCATACTTACGACCATTGCAGCTTCCCCATAGTCAAAATTCAGATGCTTGGCAACTGACTCATATTTATGACAGTTGCGGTGTTTGAGTTTCAAGTGATTCACTTTTGTGACCTTCTGACAAGCAGAGTCAAAGCCAGATTCATTTAAGAACTGTGTCACTAACTTAACATGTGCAGTGATTCATTTAACAACAGTGGCAAGAAAGGCGGTAAAATGGGGCAACGTTCATTTAACAAATGTCTCATTTGGCAACAGGAATTCCGGGCTCAGTTGTGGTTGTAAATTGAGGACTACCTTTATATGAACTTTTTTTTAATCCCGTTACAACAAATGAGAGGAGAATTAATTCTGGAATAAATACATTGTTATGAGCTTTTAATCTGCCTGGATATGGAAATCTAAGTGTTATAGAAGTTTCACAGTAGGTGACTCTGTATTGTAAGGGACTCGCACAATCTATTTGTGCGTAAGCTGTTTTCCATCTAAAAGGCTAGTAGTGTTTTACTCACTAATGATTCTTCATGCAACAAGCCATTTTCTTCTTGTCAAATTAGTGCTATAAGGAGAGAATGAAGACCCCCCCTCCATGTTTCTTTCTAATGCATAGCTCTGTCCAGGTGATTCTGCTTTTGTTGTCTATAGCTAATACTAAGTAGATTAATTTAAGCTTAATTTGCAACTTGCTACAAAATTGCTATAACATTTTAAAAAGTAGTTTGTATACATCTATGTGGGCAGGGGGAAGAAGGAGGAAATCTTATTCTTCTATGTACATTTACTATTCAGTTTAATTTACTTTTTAAGGTGTGAATGAAAATGAAAAACATTTTTGAAATGTTAACATTAAAATTTAAAATATTAATATGTCAAAGTAAAAGCACCACAATTCAATATCCATTAAAATGATCCATGTTTTACTTTTTTTTAAATATATGAAGTCGGGTATTCTGAACTTCTATTAGTTTGTCAGCTGTGTTTCTCAGTATTTATGCCTGTTATATGAGTGAATCTGTTCAAGATTTTAAGATTGAAAAGAAGAGTCCAAAAGTCCAGCACTGATATAGGTTTCCTGAATAGGAATATCAGTATTGAATTTGCAGCTTCTTTTTTGTTTTTTAATCCTGTAATTTTTCTCCCTGCCCCATTTTATAAAGATTTGCATGCAAATTTGTCAATATTTTTTTTTTGCAGTTTTCATTTTTGACAAAATATAATTGCATCATAAAATATAGACAAATGAGAATTTTAAAGGAATTGTACATACATACTAACTTGACAATGTAAAACTGAGTAAAAATCCCTTCTACGGGAGATGGGAGGCATAATAAATGAACAAACAAACTGTAAACAGAACAATTTTTTCCTGATGTTTTTGTCAAAATATTATTCTTATATGCTTTTTAAAACAGCTGTAATGAGCACATGGCAGTAATAAGACTTTTTGTACCCATTGTAGGGTTTTTTTTGTTATTGCAGAATGGGACTGCCAAATTCAGAAAAGTATAAATTTCAAAGAAGTCTGTTTGCATATTGTTACATATTGAAATTAGAAAATGAGCATTAAAATGTTTTCTGAACACCTTTTTTCCCAAGGATCTTGTTAAACATCAATTAAATTGGTCGTCTCCTTATTAAATTGGTCATCAAGAGAGAGAATATAAGGGCTGAATGATCATGGTATGAAAGCAAATATTTGCAATATAGGACAAAATTGTGTTTCTTCTTCAACCATTTGTCTTGCTGATGTAGCGCAGTGTTTATTTCTGCAGCTTCCCTGGTACTGTAAATTCATATGATGTTGAACAGGACAAGATGTATGGCAATACTTTTCTTCAAAAACCAGATTGCAATCTTCTTTGGCTGCCTGACAGACATAGATATCCAATATATCCTAACAATTGCTGTTATAGAAATGATAACTATTACTTAAGAGTTAGGAATCATGTTTCAAGATATATCTGCTTCATAACTGAGAAGTAAGGAAGAAAGTGAAGAAAGTCTTTTTTTCTTCCTTTAATTATCATTTTGAAAGGGAATAGTTGCATGTCGGTCTTCTCTTCTGTGATTGTAAAGGTGGTCCTTGACTTACAACAGTTCATTTAGTGACTGTTCAAAGTTACAATGCCACTGAAAAAAGTGACTATTTGTCACATTTATGACCATTGCAACATCCCTATGGTCATGTGACTTACATTCAGATGCTTAACTAACTCAGATTTATGACGGTTGCAGAATCCTGGAGTCCATGTGTTCCCCTTTTGCACCCTATTGACAAGCAAAGTCAATGGAGAAACCAGGTTCACTTAACAACCGTTTTACTAATTTAAGAACTGCAGTGATACACATTAACAAATGTGGAGGGAAAAGTCATAAAATGGGGCAAAACTCACTTAACAAATTTATCACTTAACAGCATAGATTTTGGGCTCAATTGTGGATGTAGATTGTGGGACTACTTGTGCATCTATCACATCACTTGTTACTAGGAGATTGTCTGTACTTTTCAGCCAGACAAGGTGCCTCTTTTTGTGAAAAAGGAAAGCATGCATTGCTGCCTGCCGTGCATATGAATAAATAGGATATACATTTCTGAAAGTAAAACCAAAAGAGAGCATTCTCAAGTAGTTGATTAAGTACATAGAAATCTTCCCATAAGAGTACGTGCTGTTTTTCCCAAGTTCTCATATTCTGACTTTCACTTCTACTCTTGCCACATAAATTAGTCGGAGAGATATTTCTTCCTTTGCCTAATTTATTTTTAGAGCAGAGGAAGGGAAACAAAAGAAAAATTCAATGCTGGCAAGGCAAAGGGCACTGTAGGTGAATAAAGAGCTGCAGTCTGAAGCTCAGTCTGCCTTGAATGGGTTGTGTAGTCTCTGAAGGAGCAGCTCTGTGGAACGGGAATGCCTCTTGATCCACGGCTGTTAATCAATTTGCAGGTAGCATCTGTGGTGAGTAGCACCTCTGCATAATTATAGCTGGTGCTTTGGCAAGAGTTATTCCCACTTGGGTTATTTGTAACATGCTTACTGTGGCAGTTATCCTCAAAAAGGGTCTTGCAGTTGTTGTTGATGCAAGATGATTGGCTGCTGTTGGGGATCAGGTAAAGACTGTGCTCATTGCCAACTGCTTACCAC